AAAAAAAAAAAAAAAAAAAAAACTTGCTCCGCTTTTGTTTTGTTCCCAGGCAACCACCCTTTCACCTTACTCTAACCTTCCCATGTAATCAATCTACTGTTTACTGTCAAATAAATACAATAAATAAACAGTATGTAGTTCCTGACATGTTGAGGCAGAGGGTACTGTCTATCATTTTCATCATCGCCCTTCTAGGAAAGCTGCGAGACATCTGAACAAACTGTAACTGCTCTGACATTTTCCCAATCCTTGTTAGGCCCAAGGAGTGACAGCAGACTGTCAAACTGTCCCTGACTCATCTTGATATAAGCTTTGAACCAACCATCATCCAGGTGAAGCTCCTGGACCAGCTGGTTGTTCTCCCTTTGATTTCTCCTTTTTCTGAGGGTCTCATGTACCCACTTTCCATTTCCCTGTGTCCATTCCCCAAATTCCCTTTCCCATGCCAATTTTTAAATGCAGATTTTAAGGTACTTAAATACAGGGTTCCTACGCAAGTATGGAAAGTATGGAAATAAATTTGATCAATTTCCAGGTATTAAAAAGTATGGAAAATTAAAAATAAGGTATGGAAAAATATTTATGTTTCCAGACTCTTACCACTGTTCTAAAATACTGTTTTCTAAAATAGAAAATTAGGTATTTCCAAAAATAATTTAATCAATCCGGATCGTGTTTTATGCCGGGCCAGGCACATTTTGTGTGAGAGCAAAAGTCTCAGAAAACATACCGCCCCTTTTACCTGATTGACAAGTGGTATGACCAGTCCGCTACATGCTGCACTATGTAGAGGAGAGGAGAGAGCTCTGTCTTACCTCTTCATAAACTAAAGTCATATTATTTTTGCGCGACGGACGCTTCATATAATAACATAACAATATAGGCCTACTATTTATGGTGTTATGTCATCGTGTCATTTCTGTCTCTACATGGTCACGCGTTAACAATTCTCCTCTGCTCTCTGTATCGCGCACGGCGGATTTCCGCCACACACAGGTGAGTACGCTAGAGCGGCTCGGGCCGCATTTTCCTGACCAAACCTGACCCTGAGCCCGGTGCAGTTTGTCAGCTGCCAAAGTTATTGTTATGGACACTGTGTAAATAACCAGCAACAAACGCACAGACAAACACGCTGCTCGCACAGCAGCGCAGCACGACACTCTTGGTGCTGAGCTTGTGTTGCGTTCAGGCGTTGTCACGTAAATAACAACTTCCAGCACTTAAATAGGTCATAACACAAAACAGCAGCATGTCAAGTGACTTTTTACTTTATTATATTCAATAAAATTTTATTTTCCTAAATCTTGAGACACCTCATATGTAAGCTAGACAGACGTTTCACCTGCTCATTACTGTGCACACATGTACTGTATGTACTTAGTCCTAAAGAGCCCTTCTGGTGCCAGTAGATACATAGAAACATCCCAGCAGGCTGTGCTTTGCAAGCATACAAAAAAGTTTCACGCATGTGAAAATTATTTTTCATGTGTGTGCTTCACCTCTGCTGCTACAACTCCATCCTAGGGGAAACACTGCTGTGTGCGTTTTGTGCAACAGGTGGATGTGGTAGTCTACTGGTAGAGTAGAGAGAGAGCTAAGTAGCGTTGAAGCAGAGTAGAGCAGGGCAGAGAGATGGAAACAAAATATATTAAACCCAGTGTTAAAACAGCAGAACTGGAGAGAGGGGTTACTGCATCGCTTGCACCCAGAGTCCCAACCTTTTTGCCTCAGCCCAGACATTGAACTTACCTGAGTTTTTATTTGCATGCCATTATAGTACTTGGCTACATTCGCCTATTAAAAATAATTAAATATGATGTGGAATATGATACACTGATATATTTACTCAGATGTTGCATATTCTCTAAAAAAAAAAAAAAAAAAAAAAATCGCCGAGAAGTCTGGAAATGAGGGTATGGAAAAGTATGGAATTTTGAAATTCTAAATGTGTAGGAACCCTGTTAATAGCAAAATAGCTGTTAGCTAAGGACAGATGATTAGGTGGTTGTCTGGCAATTTTTAAAAAAAAAGACAATAAGCTTCAAAAAGCACTCCATCTGATCAGAGCAGGCTTCAGCATAAAAAGGCAGTGTGGTGCATCTCGCTTTTAGCAACCTGCAAACACACTCTGTCTGATCAGGGTCTAAAACATCCAAACAAACTCCACTTCCTTCTCCTCCATCATTGTGCGTAGACAGTCCCAAACTGTCATATTTTCCCTAAAATATGTATATACTGTACACTTGAACATGAGCAGGCATGTGTATTGCTTTTTACAACACTTGCCTCCTGTTCCTCTGTGGGTCAGAAGAACCCTATGTTGCACTAACAGACTATCATCTGCACTGGAATAAAAGTGTCTGTGTTTCAGAGTGGATCAAACTGAAGATATCAGGACAGCAGTGTGAGCCGCTGGAGTTGGACAAAGAAGACAGAAAGCGGATTGAAGAGATCAAGAGAGAGCTGCTGTTGAAAAACCCTCTGAAGGTAAATAGGACACTCATGAAAAGCTGTTTATCATCACACATAGCAATTATAGATCATACAGCTTAATTTATAAGGTCTGCAAGTTAACAGAATTTTTTTAAACACATTTCTCTTTTTTAAAAACATGTTGATATTGACCAAATAATGTTTCCTCTCTGATGTCTGCGTACGATCTCTGGACAGTTCAGGTCTCATGCTGAAGGTAACAGGTGTGTTGCAGGCATGGTGTGGCAACTGATGCATGTCAGACTTTAGGAAACATTTCATTGAAACTGTTTCCATGTTTCCAGTGCAGTGTTGCAGTGCAACGGTTTCTTCTTTGGGGGTGTGTGTGATGGAGGAATTAATTCACAGGATAACAAACTACAGTCTTGCCTGGTCTCACAGGCCCTTTTTATAAACGTGGTCTATGAGTAAAATGCTTTTTTGGCCGCAGGGCCTTTTTTTTTTTTGCTGCATACCGTGAGTGACCACCAGGAGACTTAGCTAGCAGCCGTTAGCAGCTGACTCAGAAAAGAAGAACAGCAACAGAAAATGTCTGGGGAGGAGGTGAGGTCCAGGAGCTCCTTACTTTCCAAGCAGAGAATGAGAACAACCGCCATGTAACTGGGACGCTAAATAATTGTTAGGCCATTGTTATTGTTAGAAATCGCTGCCTGCTGCTAGAGGCCGATGTTTTGTTACATGTCACGCCTTCCAGAACTCTGGCATACGGTCTAAAATCACACACTGTGGCAACATGATGCCAGCGTTATTTGGTTATGCGTAAAAAGCAAAGCCGGTGTGCTGAAAGGTCTCTGTTGCGGCAGTGTTGCAGGATCTCCATGTGAACGGGGCAACAGTTTGACACAGTTTGACACCGACTTTGTTTTTTGTTTTTTTTTGCTTCTCCTTTCAGAGTCAGGGAAGCACAGATACAGAGAGCAGTGCAGCATCCAGCGTCAGAGTCCACAAGGAGCAGGTTCAGCTTCAGCCAACAGACACAGTCACTGCCTTTCATGACTCCAACAACCAGCCGTCCCAGCCGCTGCAGCACCTCAGCTCTCACATCCCCTCAGATCTCTCCACTGACTCCAGTGTGCAGCTTCAGAACCCTCCTCGTCCAGATCTAGAGGTTCAGATACGTGAGATCGCTGCCAGAGAAGGGGTAACCCTCGCTCGGACAAACCCTCAGGCCCTCACGTCTATCACCATCGCCACACGCAGGCGCTCCACCTCCCCCTCTCCCTCCACGTCTCCTGCACCTCCCATCAGTCCAGCACCTGAGCTGCTCCACCTGGCTGAGCTCTCCACAGGAGCACCTGAACAACCTAAAGCTAACAGGCAGCTTCCCTCAACCATAGATGAAGAGGATGAGGCAACCAGAGACCCGGCGTCAGTGTTTGAACTAAGCAGTAGTCTCAACATCGGAAACCAAAACTTGACTTCTACGAGGAGTCGGAGGAGGCAGGACGCTGTAGGAGGCCAGTTTGAAGAGCCGTCAAAGGATTTAGGTGGAGAGGATGTGAAAGCTAAAGAGGACAACACACAGTCTGTAAGGCGAGATGGTGAGGTATCTGTGCACGACAGCTCTGTTTCTGGTGCTATTCACAAAGCTGAACAGACCACAGGTTCGTCCCCGACCAGGACAGGTCACGTCTCACATGTCCACCTCACTCTGTCCCCCAAAGCCACAGACGTCTTTCCCAGTCACGCTGATGCTGTAACGGGGCTGCCACGTAAAGAATTCGTCCCCCTCAGACACTCCTTTGCTGCCACCAGCCCGGACGAAGGTGTCGGGTTGTCCAGTCCGCCAGAGTGGTACGACACCAGAGAGCCAATAAGACTGCGGCGGCCTGAAAGAGCGGACACCTCCACGCTCTTCAAAACCACCGTGCCTCGGGACAGGATGATCTCCACGTCCACACAGTCTTTCACACCACGTCACAGAGTTGTTGTGTCACCAAGACCCTCAACCACTGAAGCACCAGGTAGGCTTATTATGGGATGTACTTATAAAGTTATACCAGTATCTGATAAAGAATAATCTCATGTTGTTTAGTTCTGTTACAGGAGAGGTTTATAGTTTTATAGTGCAGTGCCTAACCCTTCACTGAGCTGTTTATCACACTATAAATGAGGGCAGAGTTCTGAACATGAGAACATACTGTGTTAGGTTTGTGTCTTATAATCTTTGCTTACACAAGGCCACATATTCTGATCCTGCAGTCTTGGCTTAATTAGATCATTAGAAATTAACGGCTTTATTCTAAACTCTCTGTGGTGAGTAAAGATGACTCAAAGAGACTCCTTCTCTCCCTCCAGCAGTGCCTGTCCTGTTGCCTTACAAACCACGAGGCAGTGAGGAGGTCTTTTACATCCCTCAAACAGAAGCTGACATCTCCTCCAACGACCCCTCTGACACCACCATGGAGAGCTCCCACACAGGTATAGTCATCTGAAATATAATGATTGTAATCACATTCAGTGTTGGGTTTACTCTGTGATTTCTACTACATTACATTCTGTAGGGCTGCTCCAAGGGGTGGGGGGAATGATAGATTTATAAATCACAAATGTCAAAAATCAGTTCTCTAAATTTTTGTTGATAAGGTGATGTTGACCAAACAAAAGACGCTGAATTCAGCTGCGAGGGCAGTGCAGCACCTGAACAGTCTACAGCAAAGATACACTCGTAACTCATCCTAAAAAAAGGCAGCAATACAAGCATTTTTTTAATTTAATGTCTAAATTATCATATTTTTGAGACAAACATGAAGTTTATTGGGAAAAACTTTCCATGCCATAAATTAGCCATTATTCTCATACAAGCAGGAGACTGTCAGGTGCTTTCAAATTAATTCAATTACTTCTTAAGTTAACTTCTCAAACTAAAACGGCTGCAGACTGTGTCAGATTTTTTGAGTATGTCCAAAACCTGAAACCAACCGTACTTGAATTGCATTTTATTTATGGTAAAATATTACATTATGCTAACACTGAACACTCTGCCAGCTTAAATATCCCACAGTGGGTTAGTGTGAGCAACCACAGGTGGCACTTCCTGATTTAAAAGTTTGCAGAGGAAACATTTTGGCTTCTGTGAAGTCGAAGGGAAAAGGGACCTGGGCGAGAGCAACACTGCATGCAAGTAAATTCATCGCTTTATTTATTCATTGATCAAGACAAATACTTGCTTTTAAATGAAGCAAGTAGTCACACATTGAGAAAAAATGAATCACGTATTGAAATAAAAAATTGAAGTGCATCAAGATGGATCAATAATTGTTATATAATCCCATTGTAGCCCTCTGAATCGTGATGTGGCTGGAGATTCCCACCCCTGGCTGCGCACTAAATGTACCTAGATAATGACTCAAGTCATCACTGCACTTGGTTTTTTAGTGTACATTTTATTTCTCTGACTGTGTGGAAATGTGATGTTTTCAAATCACAGATGACGACAAAGGCGTTAAAACACTGGTCTTACATCTCGTTCCACTTACGTATGTGTACAGGGACGAGTCAGTCAGAACTCCTCTCCTGTGTAATAGTTCAGTCCAGAATTTGCCTCGAGTATGTTTAAAAAATTGGAACTTTTGCGGTGGATTTCAGAGAGACGGTATAACCGTGTGCTAGCTTAGCTAACAGTTTCCCTCAGTTCAGTTTCCTGTTGACCGCCAGGTGAGTTTGTTTGATTAAGAAGAACTTGTTTATGTAGTTTAAACACACTGTGACTCTGAGTAATATTATTCTGCTAAAATATGATTATACATCATATACAGTCTGATTTATCAGTCTGATACAAAATACAGTCATCATCTTTTTCTGTTTGATATGAAAGTGCAGGCATAAGATTTGTTCAGTCGTTCATACACCTTTTTAGAATTATTTCCAAAATCATGCCACGAACCTGGCAGGTAAACATCTTCATTTATCTGTTGCCATGCAACACTGTTCCTGTTTTTGTCACGGTAATGTTCCAAACGCATATTCCAAACTACTGGATGGTCAAACAACCGGACAAAATTAGCCCCTCCCCCATGGCTACAGGTAGTTTCCATTATGTGTCTATCCATCTTTAAAGAAATGTACTTCCTTACGTTGGACACTAGAGGCATCATCCTTATATTTACAGACCTATGTACACCAGTCACATACATAAGTGGAAACAAGCCGTTACAGGTGTGAGGCTGATGAAGGCAGATAAACTGTAGGAGTTTAGTGTGGTGCAGCTGTTGTTCAGGTGTGTTGACCTGACACTAACAGGACAGGGGAGCATATAATCTAGTTCTAATATTTGTAGGCGCAGTGTTTTGAAGAAAAGACATCAGTAATAATGTTGGGTGTTTATGAAAGTGAAGAATATCTTTGGAGAAGAAAAAACATATTTGTCAAATTAACATACCGAAGACGACTGAGGACAAATCAGTCTGCTTAATAACTGGACAGCATCTCCATCTCACAACTGATTAAACTCAAACTGTGAAAAAGTCGAATAAAAATGAAGGACTTTATAAAAGTGAGAGAAATAAATTGTCGGTTGTATTTGTAATAAATGAGGAGGCTCTGCTCAGTTCCCCCGAGCCTGTACGGAGAGCAGCTGGTCTATTGTAACCTACACCAGGCAGGGCATTAATTATTCATGTTCAGGGGCTGAGTGAGACAAAGGCAGAGCTGGGGCCCCAGCAGAGAGACGGAGGGCGAGAGGGACTGTGGACTCCTTATCTTTAAACATCTTCTGCTCATTTCTGCAAGAAAAAGAAGGATTTCAGCCACACAGTGGTTTTATCAGTCAGCTCAGGATACAGTCTGAGTCTGACCTCCTCTCACTCATCATGAGGTAACAAACCACTTTTGACTTGTGACCAGGCTCAGATGACGCCGTCCCCCCACGCTTCAGCAGCGAGGTCCTCGGGCACCAAGATGCTGGGTTGGACCGAGGTGTCACCATCAGACACTCAGAGGGGATCTACAGCAAGAGGTTAAAAACGGCCACCTTCAAAATGAACGAGCCCGAACACGGAGGTGAGCCGAGCCTACAGGACGCACACTCATTATGTTGTGTTGTGCTCAATGCATGTGTGAAACAAACATCATCTGTGGATGAATTACAAAAGAAAGCTTTTCAATAACTGTTATTTTGTACATGTGTCACTCTCGTTAAATTAGATTAATATAATAGAATCAGTTTTGATTTTATACACTGACTGTTCAAAGGTTAAAGGGACACTGTTACTGTCACTGTGTTCAGCTCTGCAGGAAAGTGTTTTTGGAGAAGAGGGAAGAAATTATGTGAAGCTGATTATTTCTAAAAGCTTTCCAATGGATCATAAGTTTTATTTTTATATTTTGGTTGTAATCCAAAGAACCCAAATAAATAATTAAAAAAAATAATGATGAATAATGATAGATATGATGATAGATATTTTGTTTCCTTCATGCCAAAAGATTTGACTGCTCAGGGATAGACACATATTTTTTAACACCAAACTTTTAAATTTGGTGGCCAAAGATACCAGATCACATACTGTTTGTTTTTACTCCAAATTTTGTGTTATGGACTGAGACAGGTATGTAAGCAGGAGGGTCAAAGGTCAAAGTGCGACGTCATAACAAAGTAGTTTGTCCCACTTATAAGTAAGCATACTAGGGATGCATCAAATGTCAAATTCTCGGCCGATGCTGATGTTTAAAAGACCTATGTGTCTGATAGTCAGTGCCGATTGTTTTTTTTTTTTTGTTTTTTGTTTTTCCTTTTGTTTCGTTTGTTTGTGTTGTTTATTTTGGGGCGGCACAGTGGTTCAATGGTTAGCACTGTTGCATCACAGCAAGAGGATTGCTGGTGCGAACTCCGTGGGTTCCAGGTGCTCCAGCTTCCTCCCACAGTCCAAAGACATGCAGGTTAATTGGTGACTCTAAATTGTCTGTAGGTGTGAGTGTGAATGGTTGTCTGTCTCTATGTGTCAGCCCTGTGATAGTCTGGTGACCTGTCCAGGGTGAACCCCCCCCATGACCCCTAACAGGATAAACAGTCACGGAAAATGAATGAATGAAATGAAATAGTCTTAACGTGATGATCTCTCTTTTCTCGAAGGTGCTCCTGTATCAGCAGATGGAACCTCACAAACAACACGTGTTACTGGAACTCCAAAAACATCTTCTCATGAATCAGCTGCCGTCACCAGAGTGCCTTCATCCAGCAGCCGAGGAGCCTCCAAGAGGGACCAGGGCACCAGCCCGGTCCACTTCCCCAGTAATGATCATCCAGAGCCGAGCCGTGTGAGATTTCAGCCAGTTCATGTGGATGTGGACTACGACATGGTGAGCCATCACCTGGACCAAAGCTCTGCTCCTCAGACAGGAGAGGAGCGAGGCGAGGTGAGGAGAGACTCGGACCTCCGTCACCCCGTCGCCCAGCAGAGCAGCAGCACTCTGGACCAGCTGTGGGAGCGGTTCTGTGATCAGTGGAGCCTGGAGGAGTCCAGACCGACCAGCGACAGAGAGGCGTCGCTGCTGCAGCGGCTGGAACGCCTGTCCCGTCTTATTCAGAACACAAGAGGTGCTAACATGTCAGAGAGGAGGGGAGGAGACGCTCCAGAGAGAGACAGAAAGAAGGGCAGTGGAGAGGTGAAAAGGAGTGGAGGTGGTGAAGCCAGAGGAGGAAGAAAGGTTGAAGGTAAACCTCCCGTCCTTCGTCAGGCCTCCACACAGAGGCTGCAGGTGGAGGAAACTTCTCAATCTGTAGATGAGGACCGCCGAGACTCCTTCACCTCCTGCTTCTCCCAGGACTCCTCTCAGAGTCCACACCTCTGTCCTGCAGACCGGGACGAGTCAGAGACCCTGTCCTCCATGTCTGGCTCCATGTCCACCGTGGACACAGCGCGGCTGGTCCGAGCCTTCGGCGCCCACAGAGTCCAGATCCTGAAAACAAGCTCCAGCCTCAGTAAACTCTACAGCACCATCAACAAGCAGAAGGAAGGGAGGGAGCAGAGGAGAGGAAGATACAAAGAGCCGCCTCACATCATCACGCTGTCAGAGACCACCATCACAGATGAGTCCACGGTGTGTATATCAATGTCCTCGTTCTTATTCTGACATGAAGCTAATTTAATTACAGATGTATGAGCATAAACATATACTAAGTGAACTGTATCATTTTTTCTTCGCCCATTATCAGCACCAAACAGGCCTTTTGTCACTGCAGACATTTTGACTTGTCATAGTAGAACCAGCTCAGGTGTTAATAACTGTAAGGGCCCTCACACACAACGCTGATGGTCATCGGTCAGCGTCTGTTACCCTAGTGTTTGCGGTGTGTCCTGCACTGTTGGTACTAGTGGGCTCTCCTCAGCTTATTTCTGGTTGATTCAGCAGGTTGAAAATCACCAGAGCTCATTGGTAAAATAAATCACTCTGATTGTCAGTTCAGCTCACACAAGATAAACAGAAGTGAGGAAAGTAAACAGCTAAAGTCCAAAAAAGGGAGTCAGACCATAATAAACTTGTTACATAATGTAAGTTTATTTTTTAGCCATTGAGCTCTTTTAGTAGAAACAATCTGTAACTGTTTGTGTTGTTGTTTACTGGTGCATAGAAAATATCATTTGTTCTTTCAACTTCAACATCAGGTTGTGTTCTTGATATGCTACCTGGCTAGCTAGCATCTTTAACACAGACACCTGCTGTATGCTGGTGTGGAGAGTTATTTCCTCTCATGCAGGCGCAGACCATACGTACTAGTTACCCGTCTGCTGTAGTCTTTGCGGTGTGTTCAAGTGCAACTTTTTGGCCAAGAAACAGGCGACATGAGGCGATGCAGCAGTCTGCTTTCATCACCCCTAGTTCTTTGATGTCAGTTTGCTGTGTCTTGGCCTTAATAACAGCCCTGCTCTATCCAAGTGTCCCAGTAAACTATGACAGTGTGACAGTGAACCAGCAAGCACAGTACCAGGACCCTGAAACTGAAGCAGCTAAATGGAACTCAGCCATTTTTTTATTTTCACCTGTGTCTTTTCCTGCAGAGAAATGTCAGACTGTGTTCTGTGTAAAGACTTTCAATAAAACCACAGGACAAAGTGACACAGAGATGCAGTGACTCGTAGTTACTGATCGGCTCTAAATGTTTGATGTCATTTCATTGGTCCTCAGGTTACTGCTGATTCTGCATCATCAACCAGCACTTACACGCTCCCATCACACCGCGGCCCCTCCAGGATGCTGGCAGCTAAGAAGGCCGTTAAACTGGTCAGCAGAGGCATCCAGGCAGGTCAGTGCAGCTGGAGAGAGGTCTCTGACTGAGGAGTGTTATATGAAGTTATTCGGTACATGTCTGAAGTTTATCTCAGGGCTGGACGATCATGGATGAAATAATAATCATTTTAAATTAAATAAATAAAAACCAAACACAGTAAAGAAGATGAGGATAAAAACATTCTTCACACTGTTGTTTCCTGTTTCATCAGGTGACCTGGAGCTCGTCAGTAACGGGACTCGACGACACACCAGAGACGTTGGAACCACCTTCCCTTCACCTGGTGAGGCCAGAACTTCCAGGCAGGTCTCATCTTCCTCATCCAGCTTGGACAGAGGACGAGGAGGGAGGAAGAGTCCATCCAAGAGCCAGGGCTCACAAAAACAGAGGAAGAGCAAGAGGACTCCACCAAAGACCTACCCTGAAGGTACGTGACCCTACACCTGAGCTGCTGCGCTCTCAGATATAAACTAAACCCTCGTGTTGATTCAGCTGGTTTGAATCTCTGCAGGTGTATCATGGTTCATCGCTGCTGACGAGCTGAGGTCAGAGGCGAGGAAGGAGAACCGGCCGGAGGAAGAGGAGTCGACCTGGAAGCCGAGCACCGCCTGGTTTGAACCGTACAGCCGAATCCATCCGTGGAGAGAACCACTCAGACAGAGACAAGTCCACCAAGACAGAAACCAACCTCAGCCTGAACCTGATGTAGATCCAAGAACCAAAACGCTGTCCTCTGGTCTGACACAGATCTCTCTACAGGTTGGTTCAACTTTACCTTTATAAAACATCACTTCAACTTAAGTCCTGAACAAGAGTACGTCAGCTATAGATATAAGAAACTGTTGTTTTCATGAAAAGTACAGATGACTCAAACATTTCAAAGGCCTTTTTAAAGTGTGGTACGTGTTTGAGGCTCCTAGATTTAGCTTTAAATGTATTTAGCTATCACATAACATGAATAAACGCTAATGAAGTAAATGAAAAAAACATCTTCAGGTATATTTTAAGAATTTAAATTCAAAAGCTGTCGTTAACTTTGTCAGAAGAGCGTGTTCATGTAGAATAACATCACTTATAGTAAGAAGCTAAATGAGAAAATAACTTTTCAGGCTCTTCAAGATAAAATGATGCTGATCTTCATTTTCATTAGACCTGATAAACGACAGTAAATGGTTCCCCATACTCCTGTCCCTTTTTGTGTTGTAAAACCATAAACGTTCCTCTGTGTCTCTGCAGGACGCTCTGCTGATGCATCGTCCAGAGTTCATCTCTGAGTCGAGGCGGAGGGTGAAGCGTCTGGCTCTGCAGGTGGAGGAGAGGAGGCTCCAGGCCGATTTCAACAGAGAGTGCGATGAACTGTTCAGCCGGCCTGGAGGACCGGGGAGGCTGCCGAAGCCTGCAGGTACTTGACACCACACACTAGGAGAGGAACAACAAACCTGCTGCTGGATTCTTTTACTCCAGGAAAGATGGTTTTATAAACTCACTGTAGTGTTTATGAGGGGTGTCACAATTTAATTTGACTTTAAAAAGTAAAACCCTCAGGCCTCAGACTGTTCTGAATACTCCGTTTCCATGTGACGAGCTGACATCAGCTTGTGACGGATTTCTTTATAAGGTCATCTGCTCCAGGCATGCTGCGTGTGCAAGTGTTTCCATATGTATGATATGAGGCGGTCTTTGTGGAAAAAAGCTTGTTTAGTGGACTAACTTTGCACTTGAAGGTAGGGTTGGGTACCGAAACTCTTTACTTTTTTTTACTTGGTACCGATTCACGTCGGTACTACCGAGTACCGATTCACTTAAAATAAAATGGTGCCAAATTTCGGTACCTGAGGTGGAGGCGGAGCGAGAGCGCATGACTCACACCTCAGATTCAGCAACAATGGCGACAAAAACAATGTGCAGACAAAAGTTAACGTGCAGCACTGTTCCTAAATGTTCTCAATAAAATGTTGAAACTGAGAAGTTTAGACTATGGGCCTGAACGACGCATAGTGCGTCCAAATTCACACCGTTCTTCTCTGTGGATTTTCTCCCCGACCATGCGTCATAGCGAGAAGCCACGCATATCAGCAGAAACAGCAGTTTTCCGACAAGGCCAAGCACTTGTCAGTAATCCAATGTTTTCACAGTGAAAAATTACAATAAAATGATGTATAACAGAGCTTTCATACAGCTTTGCACACACATTACTCTTGGATGGATTACTTGCGAACGCAGGCTCGCACAGAAATGCCACGCATATCACATGAAAGCACAGGACCACACACATCATTGTGCTGTCATCCCATCATGCTATAAATACAGATCAATTGTCTACAAAATAAAAACCTGACAAATTTCTTTACAATCCATTATACAGATCTTGTTATCAGTCACTTCATATAGTGAGGAATATCATATCTTACCACGTCTTAGGCTTGTGCGTGTTTCTCCCTGTCTATCCACATTTGTAGTCCGGCTTTCAAGATGCAAATATCTCCATATTGTCCAGTTGAAACTCCATCAAACTCTGTATGACAAGACCAGCCACTTCACCTTTGCACACCCAGACAACTGCAGCCTAATTATGCATGCATGACAGGGCCGTAGTCACCATATACATTGAGGGGGACACGTGCCCCCCCACCAATGCCCAAAATGTTCCCCCAATATATAACTGAAACTGAAAAACAAATATTATCTTGGAGGACATCATTGCACTTGGGTGACTATTTTTCTGTGATCTTAGATGTAAATATTGCATGTTTCTTTCAGATAAAACACATTTTTGACTTGTGAATGAGTCAATGGAATTTCTTGCAATAATGAAAAATACTGGCAATCATGTCCGCCTGGCACAAACCACATGTTTTGGACAGCTGTGAAGTGACAGAACGTCCCAGCATCATGGTTCTTATATTGCCAGATTCCAGAGAGTCTCCCCTCTTCATATATGGCAGAATATGTCTACTTCCAACTTGCTATGGTGAGATACATGTAAAAATGTAAGAATTTAGGCACACAGATTTGTTTTTTTCATTGATTTAAAAATTAATATAAAATACAGGCACATAGAAGGACGTGAAATGATGGCAAATCTGGTTAGCCCAGATTGTCCTGAAAAAAAAAAACAAGATATAGCATGTGTGTGTAGCCTTTATAATGACTGTGATATGAGCTTAAAAGTAAAGGCAATAAAAATACCCCAAAAAGGCCTAGGGCCCATAGGGTTAAAAAGTACCGAAATAAGGTACCGTTTGGTACCGGTACCGAATTCCAGATACCGGTACCGGTACCGTATCAGTTCAATTATGAACGGTACCCAACCCTACTTGAAGGTTGCCCATTCACTTACGTTTTAACAGGTCTGACGCTACTATGCGCCCCGGCTGTATCTAGACTAACGGCTAACATGCTAACTATTATTTTTATGTCACTAGTCACTTGAAACAAATTTAGGACGATAGGAGACAGGTTGAAATAAACCGAAATTTCCCTTTAACTTGCCACCCAAAATCTGGCCCATGACAGGGTGTTGGGTGGCTCGCCAAAGATTTTCCAGTTCACAATGAAAATAAATTGATTCACACTGGGATCGTTTTTGTACTTTGACTGTGAATAAGGTGCCCGAGAGCATTAAAACCATCAAAAGTGGCTTCATAATAAACAATTAAAAAATAACAGGATACCCCAGACCCCCCAAAAGAGATCTGGGTTAATTATTTATATATTAATTATTAATGTTTGTTTATTAACTGACCCCTAACAGCTGGTTTTATATCAGATTGATTGGCTGAAGGGGAAATATTTTAAGTTAAAATATTCTAGGCTAATTTGTAGGGCTGCCCCTCAAAAGGCAGAGATGTTGATCAGTCAGTCGAACCATCTTTATTTATTTATTTATTTATTTATTCTTGTTGCTTTTGATTTCAGTTACTAAAATTAAAAGCTCATTTGAATTTAGAATCAACCGTGACACTCCTGGTATATTAATATTAATATACATTAAGGTGCTATTTTAAAACCTGGACTGATGACTGTTTGGTTTGTGTCTGTGTGTTCAGGCAGTGCTCTGCTCAGGAGAGCTGTTCCCAGGAAGGAGATGATCCAGAGATCCAAACAGTAAGACTTTGATTTGCTTTGTTCTCCGAAAGGACGACGGCAGTCAAGAAGGCAGATATTAGCTGATACTGATGTTTACTTGATATATCGGTGCATCCCACTGAAAAGGTCTTAAAGAGCAATACGTGTCTGAATCCTGTAGACACCGTGAAAACCATGTATCATCTCTATCAGGTAGAGTTTCAGGTGAAACTGGTGCTACGCTACTTTTGTTTAACTCAGATGTTGCAGAAGTGTCTAAACCATATAACAATATTAAGTTTGTCTTTAAAAACGTTTACTCACACCGTCGTCTTTTCACCAGGATTTATGAGAATCTTCCGGAGGTGCAGAGGAGGAGAGAGGAGGAAAGAAGGAAAGCAGAGTATCGATCTTACCGACTGAACGCTCAACTCTACAACAAGGTACAAAACAAACATCTGCTCTCGTTCACAAAGTCACATATATTCGTTATAAACGTCTAAATCTGATTCGACTAACATCATTCTGAGTCGGGTACAGCCCTACTTATTTCCTGAGCAGTTCTCAAAGTGTGTCAGAGACAAACTTTATACATTTGTTATTAATTTAAATGATTTATTTACACAAACAACCTGTTTCCTGTGTTTCAGCGGATCACTAACCGTGTCCTGGGCAGGAGAACAGCGTGGCACTGATCAAACACACCTGTCAAACTTTTTTACTGTAGATTAAATCAATGATGTGAAAATATTTTTACAATTTCTGTAACATTAAGAGCAAGACTACCTAACTAAATTTGGCTTTAATATATTTGTGACCACAGTTTTAGTTTGTATTTTAAAGATTATGTAGAAAAGTAGAATTCTTTTCTTCGTACGACCAGTGACCTGTGTTTATTGGTTAAACTTGAAAATGCCTTTTCATGTAAAAATAAACTCGATTCTTTATCATTTTTGCTAAATTCCCTGTTTTGATTGAAGACAGTGAGGCTGACTATACACTGGCTTTAATGTCTTTATTGATCAGTTATCGGTTGTGCGAGAGCAGGAAGCCACAGGAGGAGAAGGTAAGACAAGTTAGACAAGCTGCAAAGTCAGAACATCAGCTGCACAGATAAATAACACCATGAATAAATAACACACGTCCTTCTGTAACTACAGCTGTGTAGATGCACTATGCCCATTAATTAAATTAATCATCAAATAAAACTTCAAGTCATGACGACACTGTAAACATAAATACTCTAACAGATCATTAAATAAAATAATTAGCATGGATTAATAAACTAAAAGCCTTTTAAAATCAGCCGTGGCAAACGTGGTGACGAGAAACAAAGATTCTTTGGCAAAGATGAAGTTTTGCTTTAAACGAGGTTTGATCGGATCAAATCAAACATAAGGCAGGTGACCGCTCTTTACCACGAGGCTCTCTGCAGGTTTAAGGCTCGGACGACGTTTGAAACTGCAACAGGAAACAGAACAACAGTAACACACACGTCTCTGGATTTTTGTTTTTCAGTAACTTTACCAAAACAACCAGCGTGTCTTTTTTTTTTATACCGAGCGTGTAAAAGTAGTCAGCTCACTGGAGTTTACAGCACAAGTGTAATAAATACTAAATAATTTAAACCATCTAACGCTTCATCTGAGTTTTTAAATAAACATGAAAAATCTGCAAAAGAATTTAATTTATCTGCATTTTACACAGTAAATCTTCGAGGTTTTTTCAGCTTCTCTTCTGTGCAGTCCGCAAAGTTTCAATCAAACCACAGAGCAGAACACAAAATCCTTAACACACACACACACACACACACACACACACACACACTGGGGCCAGACGCATAAAACTCGGAGCAGATTCACGCAATGTTTTCGTCAGATTCATAAAGCCAGATTATGTTTTATGAATCTCAATCAATTTGGTGCACGAGCCTCATTTCCACACCCAAAATTTCCCATAAACAGATGTAGACACGCCCTCAAACATATTTGCGTATCGATACTTGTGCCCCTCCATCACTCATCAGACCTGTCCATGACAAATACGATGAATAAGGAGCAATGTCACTGACGGTGTTGCATTGCTGAGTTTCTCCAACGGTGCCAGGTTTGACCGGTTTGGCAATTTGTAGTGTTCGTTCCCCTAATTCATCACATCCCTGCAAATCATCATCACGGGAAAATCTCAATCATTGTGATCATTAAACGTCAGAGGGATGATCAATGATTCATTCGTAGTGCTCAAGTTCAAACTGACTTTACAAAGTGCTTCACAGGATAATGAACGATCACTAACAGGGAGATGAATGTAAAAAAAAATATGATGACACGTATCACTCAAATTATTAAAAATTAAATAAATGTGCCTCGTCATATCATCGCAGCTATCTTGGCCAAAACCATGTGCACATCTGGTCTGACGTCTGCATGGCGTGTGCACATTCTTCGTTCATGAATATTGGTTTATATGTGAGAAAAGGCGTGGGCATGTTTTTGTGCGTACTCGTCCTTTATGCATCTGGCCCCTGGAGTTTGCTGGCATGTTAACTTCATCACTGAAATGTTTTTGTCGTCAGATCGTCAGTGAAATAAAGTTCCATTCAGTAAACTCAGCGTGCAGGACGTCGTCTCCTCTGTGGTCGTTAAATGTGCAAAAAGTCTCTTTGATCAAACCACAGTGAAACTCCTGTAAACGGACAAATCTGATATTAATCTGCTTCATTTCTAAATTACATGATCCTTACTTCCCTTTAGACAGATATAAAAATGGAGCACGCCACAGTGACACCTGATTAAAGATTTACAACACAGTCATGATCCTTCTACAGTAATACTGCGTAGCTTTAACAGTGATAGAAACACGGAGCGACATCCAATGTTCGGATAGAAACCACGCTGTGCAGGTTTCACCCCGGGGCCAAACACCAGTCTGATAAAACTAAATAACAACAGAACATCAGGGCAGCATGCAGAACCGCAGGTACAAGGATATCTGCTACTGTTTACGGCAACAAAACTGAACTCAGACGTTTCAGTTGTGAGGATGGATCTGTGATCGCCTCACAGTCTGTAAGTTACAACATGCAGGGCTGTAGGTGAGAGATGAGCAGTCTGATACAAGTCACTTAAGAAAAACTAAGACTCGGGGTTCCCACAGGTCCTTGAAATTCTTGAAAGTCTGAGTTTGAGGGGGAAAGAATAAATTTTTCAGCCTCAAATGTTTTTAAAATAGACACAGGTTATTCAGTGCACAAGAATAGAAACTGAGCCTAAAATTCTCAGTGTGTAACAGTAATTAATTTTGATCTGTGTTTTAAACTATGCTGGGTTGGGCCCTTGATTTTGAGAGAAATGGGCCTGGAAAGTCCTTGACAAGTCCTTGAATTTGATGTAAAAAATAAGTGTGGGAACCCTGAAGTTCAGTTGAATCTGATTTTGACTGGAGACTGATGAAAGAAATGCTAGAAAGTTTCCACTTTTGTTGTCATGTGATATTTTCTTGTATAATGTTAAAACAAACTGTCCAAAACTAAAAAATATTCAGTCAACTGTCAGATGTCACAAAGGAAAGCAGCAAAATCTCACACTGAAGAAGCAGCAGTCACAGATTATTAACTTGAATTAGCTTAAAATGACTAAAACAATTTAAAAAGTAATCAAAAAAGTTTCCAATTAATTTTCTGTCGATTGATCAGCTCACTAAAAGACAGACCAAACAAGTTCTAGATATCTAAAATCCAAAGTGATGTTCAGATTAAACTGATCTCAAACTCACAGCCCTGAACGACAGACAGATAAAGATCACTTCCTGCAGGTTGTAATCTCTTCGTTAGCGATGTGAAACACTTCCTGGTTTGACATGTTCGGCCCCGGGGTGGAGACCAGGCTGCCAAGCTGATGATGGGTGGTGGGGGTGGTGGTGGTGGTGGTGTTGTGTTGGTGCAGCAGGCAGGATCGCAGGGCAGGTGGCGTTTAGGTCCGCAGCAGACTGTGAACTCTCTGCAGCTGAGACTGTGACAGGACGAGGCGGTGGACCTGCTCCTGACCACGGGCACACGGCACCATGACCCGACCCACCAGCACTGTGTCGCCCTGCTTCTCCTCCTTCGCCTGAAGATGAAAGAAAAGAGTTCAGTGTGGTGAGATGCTTTCACCTCTGCCTCCAAGAAGAGCATGTAGAGGAAAACTTTTAGAGGTGTTAAAAAAACCTGCAGCAACAATGTGAAAATCAAAAAGCAACATAAGGTGGAGTTTCTTTTTATTAAAACACTGCCCACTGGATCATTTAAATAAGACATGTCAGAATATAACCTCTATGAGTCCCATACAGAGTGAAATCAGTGATGAGCTTTGACTGACTGTGTCTGCAGCTCTTACCTTCACAAATGAAGTTGAAGGGAACGTCGCAAAATCAGATGCAACTCGAGCTCCAGGATGCTGGTGGACGACGTGCTCTGCCACTTCGTCCTGACAGAGTGGAGGAAAAGAGAGGAAATGTGGTGATACGCCTACATCAGCCTGTAAGGTGAGTGATGTAAAGGTGGTGGCACAAATGTTTTATATGATTTCTGTAGATGTGACAGTTTATTTACCTTCAGTCTACCCAGAGTGTCACTGAGAGACTGTAATCTGGCCGTCTGTTCCAGCAGCTGAGCACCAGGTGTCACTGCAGGACAAATAACAACACAGCTGTTAGTTTAGTACAACAACACGTAACAGGAAAATCTCCCAGACAATAATTCTGCTTTTTTACTAAGCACTGATGAAAAATCTCACAAAACTACAACTTCATTCAGATTATCCTGTCTCTGTCTGTCTCAGGGTTTCTGTATGACATACTATACTAAGCACTGTTACTATTACTACTGTACTATTTTTATGGCCTACTGTAGCTTTCTATTAGAGACATACTATGATTTGATTTTTCACAACATACTATGCTGACATTTTGACAAAAAAAGTCTAAGTATAGTATGTCATCTGAAATCACATAAAAAAAGTCACAGTATAGTATGTCGTCAAAAATCATGAAAAAAGTCATAGTATAGTATGTCATCAAAAACATGAAAAAAGTCATAGTATAGTATGTTGTCAAAAATCATGAAAAAAGTCATAGTATAGCATGTCGTCCAAAATCACATAAAAAGTCATAGTATAGCATGTTGTCAAAAATCATGAAAAAAGTCATAGTATAGCATGTCGTCAAAAAACATGAAAAAAAAAGTCATGGTTTAGCATGGGGTCCAAATTCACGTAAAAAGTCACAGTATAGCATGTGGTCCGAAATCACGTATAAAAAAGTCATAATATAGCATGTCGTCCAAAATCATAAAAAAAAGTCACAGTATATTATGTCATCAAAAACATGAAAAAAGTCATAGTATAGTATGTCGTCCAAAATCACATAAAAAGTCATAGTATAGCATGTTGTCAAAAAAACATGAAAAAAAGTCATAGTATAGCATGTTGTCCAAAATCACGTAAAAAAAAAAGCCATAGCATTGCACGTTATCCGAAATCACATAAAAAAAGTCATAGTATAGCATGTCGTCCAAAATCATGAAAAAAAGTCATAGTATAGTATGTTGTCAAAAAAACATGAAAAAAAGTCATAGTATAGCATGTTGTCAAAAAAAACATGAAAAAAAGTCATAGTATAGCATGTTGTCCAAAATCACGTAAAAAAAAAAAGCCATAGCATTGCACGTTATCCGAAATCACATAAAAAAAGTCATAGTACAGCATGTCGTCCAAAATCGAATGAAAAAAAGTCATAGTATAGCATGTCGTCCAAAATCTAATGAAAAAAGTCATAGTATAGCATGTCGTCCAAAATCGAATGAAAAAAAGTCATAGTATAGTATGTTGATCAAAATCTAATGAAAAAAAGTCATAGTATAGCATGTTGATCAAAATCATGAAAAACGTCATAGTATAGCATGTCGTCCAAAATCTAATGAAAAAAAGTCATAGTATAGTATGTCGTCCAAAATCGAATGAAAAAAAGTCATAGTACAGCATGTCGTCCAAAATCGAATGGAAAAAAAGTCATAGTACAGCATGTCGTCCAAAATCGAATGAAAAAAAGTCATAGTATAGCATGTTGATCAAAATCATGAAAAAAGTCAAAGTATAGCATGTCGTCCAAAATCTAATGAAAAAAAGTCATAGTACAGCATGTCGTCCAAAATCGAATGAAAAAAAGTCATAGTATAGCATGT